AGGTGGGGCTCAGTTGGCATTTGGCTGAAAGATTTATCATAACACCAAGGAGTATTATGGCTCCTGCTCCAACTACCCTAATACATACTGTGTCCATGGTTGGGAAGCATTTGGGAGCAAAAAAGGATCATCCCAACTTAAAGTTGAAAGAAAATGATGAAAACTGTGGTTCTACTACTACAGTTTTTGTTGGCAACATCTCTGAGAAAGGCTCAGACATGCTTATATGACAGCTCTTAGCTTAATGTGGTTTGCTGTTGAGTTGGAAGAGAATACAAGGTGCTTCTAGAAAACTTAGAGGCAAAAGCCTTGTCTCAAATCCACTCTAAGACCCATCAGCTCCGCCCCATCTGTGTCCTTTGCCAGTAGCAATGTAACACCCAACACTCCTGGGGATGAGTCTCCTTATGGCATTATTATTCTTCATGAAAACTCACCAGATCACCAGCAGCCTGAGGAACATAGGCAAAAATAGGACTAAGTCTTAAACTGGGTGCTTCCAATAGCCCTGGCCAACCTAAGAAGTGAAAAAGACTACCTGTGGATAATGTCTTTAACAAATTCAAGGATGAAGACAGTGATGATGTGCCCCCAAAAGGAAACTTGTTCCCTTGGATTATGGTGAAAATGATAAAAATGCTATGAAAGGCACTGTAAACACTGAAGAAAAGTGCAAACACATTAAAACTCTCATTGAGAAAATTTCAACAGCCAAAACTGAGCTTTTTGCTTATCCTCTAGATTGGTCTATTGTGGATTCCATACTGATTAAACGAAAAATCATGCCATAGATCAATTAGAAAATCATAGAATACATAGGTGAAGAAGAAGCTACATTAGTTGATTTTGTTCGTTCTAAGGTTATGGCACACAGTTCACCACAGAGCATTTTAGATGATGTAGCCATGGTACTAGATGAAGAAGCAAAAGTTTTTATAGTCAAAATGTGGAGATTATCGGTATATGAAACAGAAGCTAAGAAAAGTGGTCTTGTGAAGTACAACTCTTTTTACAGTCAGGGTTACATTTCAGATTTCTTCTTTTACACCCTTCAAAGAACTTTGAATTTTCTGTGTCTTCAAAGGCATTTGTGAGTTCTGTAGTTTTTTATTGTAGAAAATATGAAATCTTTTGTCCTCTAATTTGTTGATGCCCTGTGTATGAACTTGGTTGTAAAGTCCTCTGAATCCCTGGTTCTCTTTATACTCACGGTTACAAATTGCTGGTGTGTTTTATAAGCGGCAGCTACTGTACACAGTCTATCTCATGTAATTGTGTTCCTTGTAAATATTGAAATGATTCCCCAGTTCTTTTGCAGGATTCCACCTAATATTAAAATTGTACTGTATAGACACCAACATGAATAATTTGAATACTAGTCATACCCATTACCATCTCATCCCATTCCTCTGATCAGAAATGACAAGTCCTTGTAAAAACATGGAGTTTAGAATTAGAGTGCCAAAACTAGCCGACAGTCATTCCTAATGCATCACTGTATTAATGTGTATATGTGAGTGTATATATAAAAGTTTTTTTTAATTTTCTTTGGTGGGCTCCCTTAAACATTTTGTAATTCACCAATAGACTTATAAAGCAAAAGTGGTAATTGTGCCAACCTAAGTAACTACTAGTATGATTATGGTGTGAGTTTTCCAGAGGGTGGTATTCTGCAGTGAGCAACAACGGTCTGCTAAATCAGATTTGTGTTTCTCTGTGAATAGGATGATACCTCATAGTCTTATTTCTTCCTGCAATTTGCCTCAGAACTGAAGCGGATTCTAAATTTCTGGAACATTTTACTCAGTACATTTTTCAACTTGTCTTTTGTTTTATTTGGGTGTGCTCCTTTTAGAAAGCAGAATTAATTCTAAAAGTATAGGGAGGAGGAGCCCACCTTCTTTAAAATAAGTGACCAGGCGGTACCTGAGTTACTGAGCTTACTATGCTTAGCATGAAAGAGGGCCTGGTTTCTGTCCCTAGCACCAATAAATAATGTAAGTGTACAAAAGATTTTGACAAAACATAGTAGTAATCCACCATAGTAGTTAACTGTTTACATCTTTCTTCCAAAGTTACATCATTCATGGCAGCTTCCTGCTTACAAATTTTTGTCACTGGTCATGAAACTTTAAATATATGGATGACATGTTTGGAGAAATCCTTGGATTTATCAGTAATTCAGAAGAGCACCGGGGGACAAAATTTATTTGAAAAGTACCAAATTCTATATTTCTTATAACAAATAAGATACAGCTGTTGCCACATTTGTTTATTAAAAGGTAAAGACTAGCTTGTTAGGGTAATGTAACTAAGGTTATTTTTTTCTTCTGCTGCTTCTTTTAAACATCTTGAGGACATACAAAACAATGTTCTTAAGGTTGAACCTTGACATGGTTTCATTATGTAAATATTTCAGTTATTAAAAATGTATATATTTGATCTTGGAAATGCTCCCTTTGAATCTTATAAATAAATGGCTTTATGTTACAAAAAAAAGAAGATGAAGCCTGAGGCATGATGCTTACTGTCTTGCTCTTCATAGTTTGCTCAGTTTACTATTTTTTACAACCCAAGACCACTCACCCAGAACCAAGGCTAGGCTTTCCCACATCAATAATCAATCAAGAAAATTCCCCAACAGATTGTTTAATGGCCAATCTGATGGAGGCAATACTTCAGTTGAATCACCCTTTTCCAACTATGTCTGAATTGTGTCAAGTTGACAAAAACTAACTGGAAAATTTGCTGAGCCATCCCACAGAAACCAAAGATCATTATAATGAGGGAATACAAAAAAAAGAATGCCATGCCAGGCATTGGTGGCACATGCCTTTAATCCCAGCACTCGGAGGCAGAGGCAGGCAGATCTCCTTGAGGCCTGGTCTCCAGAGGGAGTGCCAGGATAGACTCCAAAGCTAAACAGAGAAACCCTGTCTCAGAAAAGAAGAAGAAGAAGAAGAAGAAGAAGAAGAAGAAGAAGAAGAAGAAGAAGAAGAAGAAGAAGAAGAAGAAGGCCGAAAACCAGAAACCAGAGGCTATATATGCCAGAGACCCAGAATAGAACCATACAGAACCAGCCAGCAATATTAAAAAGTCTATGAAATGTCACTAATGATACTCTGCTATGCTGGTAGACAGGAGACAGATGTAGAAACCCACAGCCAAATATTAGTTGTTATTCAGGGAATCCTGCTAAAGAGTAGAGAAGGGATTGTAGAAACCAGAGGGGTCAAGGACATGAAAAAAACACACAAAATCATCTCCCCTAGGCTCAAAGAAGTGCGAGAGATGGAAGCAGCAATCAGGGAGCCTGTATGGGTCTGACCTAGGTCGGCTATGTGTTATGTTATTGTTGTGTAGCTTGGTCTTTTTGGGGGTTCTGTCTCAGAGGGCATTGGAATTATACATCAAAGTTTTTACCTGCTGATCTTATCAGCACATAACATGTCATTTTATGTTATGAGTTATTGGACAATATTTACATCATTTTTGTTCCTTGTATTATTAGCCCTGCCAAATATTTGTGTATTTTAGACTATCCTGGATGACTATACTTCATGTTGTTTAGACAAAATTTGAAGTTGAATGAGAAGCAATGAAGCAAGAGACACCAAATATTCTGAATGGTCTATTTAGTATGTACATTAAGGAGTACATTCCCAATAGTGTATATATTATACTATGGTACAGAACCAATGCATTGACAATATGCAATAAATTATACCAAGGTTTACATTGCTGAATTTAAGGTCTTTCTCATTGATGGTCCTTTGTACCACAATAATTTACCAAAATTTAATTGTGTGTTCTCTTCACTATTCAAGAAAAACTTCATAATTTCATTTTTTCTCCTTGCCTCAACAAATATAAAAGTTACATAGGTAGATGTGCTTCTAATTATCACTTTCCTAAAGGAAACCAGAAACATTATTAATTGCAATAATAACTGTGAAGTTCCACCAGATGTTGCAGAAGATTAAATTATTTAGTCATTATTTAATGATCCAGTATTAGTAATAAGTTAAGGGGAAGCAACTATTTAAGAAGAAATTTATCCTTTATAGATCTTGTGTAGAAACACTGACCAAAACAAAATTATGGGATCATGAAACCCTAGTAAAAATGTCAACTTGATTGCTTCAATGCTTTATCATTGCCTAGTCATTATCCCAGGATAACTTTTCACATCGAAGAGAATAAATTATGACATCATTATCTGCAATATAAAGACTCTCACAGAGCTAGATCCTGGGGCACTGTAGTCTTAACTTGTATTCATAAAAAATGGACCTGTCAAAACATCTCAGGATTAGTGGGGACAGATATTTTAAGAAGGTCAGGTGGAGGGATCAGTTTATTATTTACAGTATAGAATAGATTTCAAAGGAAAAAATATAATATTAGACTCAATAGTTATCGGTGCATCCATTATCTTTTGAGAAAATTAATTAATTTTTAAAGTGAAGAACCTCACTCTGGTTAAGCATATTTAAATTTTAGCATCGTTACACCAGTAGAAAACAGAAAAAATCTAAATCTCCAAATTTGTAGCACATGAAAAATAAAATCTATATTTTTATTTTCTAATGATTTTATCCATTATAAGATGTTATTTGTTAAGCTATATTATAAATGCTGATTGATAGATATAATGTTCAAGTCAGTGATTTTTCACAAGTATTATAGATTAAATGATAATCAATATAATTTAAATAATTCTTTTCCAAAGATAAGATGAGAGCAAGCAAGATAATTTTGTCTTCCATTACAGAAAAATGATGGTAAATGAACTAAAAATTGAGGCACATGTTGCAACTGGATGAGTAGGGAATTCTGACATAATTTCTATTAGGGATTCAAGAACTAGAATTGACAACAAAATATTATGTTTTTAATATTCACTTTTGTTAGTATGTTTATTGGACACTATATATATATATATATATATATATCCATAAATATGCAAAATAAAATATCTGGAATGTCAATAACAAGAAGAAAGGAACCTTTGCTTTGTTAGGTATGAACTGAGATGATGGAGAGAATTAGATATGTGAATCATATACCTGGAGTACTTTCTTTTCCTACAGGCTGGGTCTTCCCCCATCAATCACCAATTAAGAAAATGCCCTACAGACAGATCTTATCAAGGCATTTTTCTCAATTGAGATCCTCTCCTTTCAGATAACCTTGGCTTCTGTCAAGTTAACAGAAAACTAGAGAGCACAATGTTCTCTTACATAAATATTTTTTCTGTTCCCTAACCAGATATTTTACTCATATGTTCCCAAACACAAATATATTGTCTCTCTGTTATCCTTTCTAGAAAACAAAAGAAGAACGGATGGGGAGAGAAGAGGAAGGGATGGGGAGAGAAGAGAAAGGGAGGAAGAATTTAATGATGTATACCCAGAATCTTTAGTTGGTCCATAGCCACAAATATAGTTGGTGTATACATAGTTATTTCTATTGGTTCTTTATATATTTCTAGTTTGTGGATCCTCATTTTTTATTTTATTGAATTTAACATTTCTTGGTTTATTGTGCTAGGCATAATTCAAGGCCTCAAGGCTGTGCACATAGTTTATATGTATACATGAGTATACATGAGTATACATATTCATTTACATGAAATATACTTCAAGTTTGAATTTAGTATGCTGGACTAGCTCAATTAGTCAAATGCCTCTTTCAAAAAAAACCTTTCCCAAGTTACCAACACACATTCACTTTTCTTCTTAAGGCTGTCATGGCAACAAGTGTGCATTCAACTCGTGTTTTCTGCTCTAAAAACTCATTCACACAGTATGAATAATCAAGATTAATTTTCGTCAGTGTCCATGAAAGAGGAATGCTCAGAATAGAAACAAAATTCTATAATAACCAACAGAATGTGCTTACATCTTCCCCTAAATTAAGCCTTTCAAATGGATCTTCATTTTTTTAAATAACATGTTCACTGTATTAACAATGCATTTTCTGCATAGAGAGCAAGAAACATTTTAGCACTTTAGATTCTTCTACTATTTATTGCCAAGTTCCTAATTTTTATGCTTGAACTATGTACTTTGATATATTAATTTTAGACACATTGAACTTTTGTTCCTTTATAATATGTTTTATGTTCTTCATTCTTCCTAATATGTTCATATCAATAAAGCTAGCTGAAAGAAATATGATTATGTGAATATTGTTATGATTAACAGAACATATACACTGCTCAATTTTTCATAGAATTTGCATTCTATTGGAGATAGCAATTGTTCAGTTTTACTTGTGTATTTTACAGCATTTTTATTTCTTTTTAATTTTATATAAATACATTTATCTGTTCTTATTAGAAAAAATAAATATATTAGTTTAGAAATCTCCTCTTTTTATTTTTATTTCATAATACCTGTTACAGACTAATACATTTTCATAGTCCTAAGAAAAACAAATGGTTTCTGGGTGAATACAATATTGTTACACTAGAAAACTTGCCTCAACTACCTGGGTGAATCCATTATATCATTGATTTTACCTGCCTTTGATGTCTGTTTTTTTTTTTTTCCACTCTTCTATGTCAACTAGCAGTAGGCAGAACCTGAAGAAACTACATATTTTGAGTCATATCAAACTATTATATCTTTAACTATTGATCACAAATTCTTTGGGTTTAAGATTTAATACTTAAACTTCATTTTTCTTCAGAACTTGGGAATGATTCTACATATGTTTGACCATTGGCTACTGCCATTGTCTTTGGTTTTTTGTTTGTTTGTTTTCACTAACAGAGGTATGTCTGTGTTTCTATCAGTCTGATTCCACATGGCAAGGGTGCCTGCTTCCATGTTGATGACCTGTGCTCAATCCCCATGACCCATGTACTGGAAGGGGAGAGAACTGACTCCTGTAAGTTTTCTTTTGGCCTACACAGGAGGGCAGAGAGAAATACATACATACAGAAACTCCACATAAAAACCAAAATAAATAACTGTTTTAAAATAAATTAAGAAGAAAGTGAAGGCAATAAGATCTAACCGAAAGACTAGAAACCATTCATAGAATATAGAGCTTTAGTAGGCTGTCAGCCAGGAGCCAGATTTCTACCAGAATGTTCCCAACTTCATGCAATGTAATCATTTCTGGAAGCACCTCCATTGTCCATCATTCAAAATAGCTAAATAATACAATATACCCCTATGAGGAACCACAGTCAGTACTCAAAAATAACTGTGTGCCACAACTGGATCAATGTCAAAAGCTATTACACTATTACACTCAATGCTGCATTAATTAAAACTATAATGATCTGGCACATGAGTGTGCACCAAATTTCTTGAATCATGAAAAGACTCAAAAATCAGGCAAGTGCACATAGGAATTTATCATATAACATATGATAAAAGTGGCCTTTCAATTCTCTAAGGCAAGAAAGGACAATTTAATAAATGATGCAGGGATTGGTTAATCATTTGGAAAAAGATAAAATTACAATCATACTTCACCAGTGTCCTTGAAAACTCAATTCCAATAGATCATACATCTAAATGTTAATATATATATATATTGCCCTACAAGTAGGGAAAGAAAACTCATATAAATTTTTCTTTATTCTCAGTGTGAGCGAAATACTTTCTGTTGCTCAAAATGCAGCTAGAATAAAATATTGATCGTTTTACCTTAATTTGGCAGCACATCTTATGACAAAACTGCAACATGTGTTAGTGAGTGTTCCTTTTCCAGTACAATAATATATCAAAAAGGAAGAAGAATGAAAATGCAAGATGATTTACTTTGGCTCAGAATTTTAGGTGTTTGCCAGTACATAATTAGTAATTAACTATTAGCAAACAACAGTGTCAAATCATGTGAAATATCATTAATGAGAAGTTTTACTCACTTCTTGTCTCAAATGCAATATAAAGGAAGAGGAAAGGGTAGTAGTCAACTATCCTCTTAGACTGCAAGATCTAATGACCTATAGGCCTCCTACTAGACTCTAATTCTGAAAGGCTAAACTTATCCACAGTACTACATTCTGGTTGAAGCCTTAGCCAGATGGACTTTGAAGTATATTTAATGTGCATAAATAAAGTCAAAACACAACTCACAAACTAAATAGGAACCTTTCAATATATACTACATGATGAAATGCTACTGTCATGAACACACGAAGAATTTTTTACTCTAAATTTTTTATTCATTTTTACGTACCAACCACAGTTCCTTCTCCTGCCCCTCCTCTCATCCCTTCTCCCAGCCTCATCATCACCCCCATCCAGAGAAAGGGTGAGGCTTCCATGGGAAGTCAACAAAGCTTGGCATATCAAGTTGAGGCAGGACCAAACCCCTTCCTGCTGCATTGAGGTTGAGCAAGGGAATGGGCTCCAAAAATCCAGCTAATTTAATCATTCTTTTTTGAAAAAATTTATTTCACATTTCAACCACAGTTCTCCCTCCCACACCTCCTCTGACCCCTGCCTCCTATCAGTCCCCTTACCACCCCCTCCTCAGCCCACCCAACCCATTCCTCCTCATGGATAAGGGCTCCCTTGTCCCAACTTATTGTGTCAGACTTGTTGACTCCTCATGGGAGACCTTACCCTTACCTGTTAGGAGTCAACAAAGACTGAAACAATAGGTTAGGGCAGGGCCAGGCCCCTCTCCCATGCATTAAGGCTGAGCATGGCATCCCACCATAGGGAGTGGGCTCCAACAAGCTAGCTCATGTACTGGGATTATATCATGGTCCTACTACCAGGGGCCCCTCAGCTAGTTTAAGCTTCCCAACTGTCTCCCACATATGGAGGACCTAGCTTTAAGAGCTAAGAATACTATCTGGGCTGTGGTGCCACATATGTTTAATCCCAGCACTCAAGAGGCAGAGGCAAGCAGATCCAGGAGAGTTCCATGACAGCCAGGGCTATGCAGAGAAACCACACAAACAAACCAAAGTTAAGGATTCTGCTCACTCTCCTTCCCAAGAAAGAAATTATTGAAAAGGTCCAAAAATATTCACTTTTAAAATATAAAATTGGCACTTAAAATATATAAATATATAACTTCTTTCTAATTAGGCATACATAAAATAAAACTCATTAAAATAGCATTTCTCATTTATGAGACATATACAAATGTACAGTAATGACTTGGCATTTTATTTACCATAGAAGACACTGCTGGTAGGATAGCCAATGCTAGTAGCATACTAAAGGGATGTTTTCCAATAATGTTCAATACAGATAAACACACCAGGTACTGAGCAGTCACTTGACTACAGAGATTCATATATGACCATTTCAATCCCAGCTACTCCTTACACATTTTCTCTAACCACAAATAAGAATTTCAAAGTTATCATAATTCAGTTGTTGAAGTAAAAGAGGGACACCAAGGGATTGAAATTCATTGGCATGAAAATGCATCAAGACATTCATTGTTGGTATTCGTAATTTCAGATCTGTAAAACAATCCAATAGAAGATACTATAAGAGTGGTATAATAAACTGCGAGAGCATGCAATAGTCTATGGTGATCACTACAAAAACTGCATGAACTACAGGTAAAAATATAGTGATATAGAGAATATTTTACTTAAAATTTAGAAAACAATTGGCACCTTGGAATAGCTTTTATGCAGAAAGGAAGAAATAAGAAACAATATATATGTATCTAATCATTAAAAGTATGACTGGAAAAGGGAAGAAAAATAAACAGAAATGAGCCACTTAATTTTCATAGCATGAGGACAATGTTTAAAAACAGCTACAAATTGTAATGGTCCTTTTCATATATGCATAAATATCCATAATCATAATTTATATGACAATTAAAATACAATAACTCCCACTTCAAAGTATTGTAGAAATTATCTTCCTTATTTGCTGTTTTAATTTTATTCTTTAATGTCTTTTTTCTTTACTGAAATAGTTTATACTTCTCTTTGTTTGAGAGAAGGTGAACAAAATAACCAAACTAAAATATACAGATTCAGTCTCAGCAATAGCCTTCTTAACAAAATATACTTCCTTGATCTTATTTAATAAAATCTGTAATTTAAAAAGCAAAATGCTTTAAACCATGAAAATACTGTATTTGTATTTGAATTATATTAAAGATCTTTATTTTCATCATTTGGTGTTTCAAAAGAATTAAGATGTCATGCAAATTACCTAATTCAAAAATCCAGTATTTTTCTTGTTTCCCCAAAACCCTTAATTACTCTTATGAAATAAGATGTATAAATTTAAGAGAATTTGATAAGTAACTAACTATACACATTTTTAATAAAATTCCTTGGCCATTAAAATATATTGGACATAAAAAACAACTCAGTGGCTGAAATTTATTGAGTAGTATTTTTAGAAAGATATTTAGAAATTTAGAATGTTTTTAACAGTGTCATCTTTTGCAGGTGTTTCTATGTTATTTCCTATTTGGGTGGCTTTTAAAAATCATTTAACTTGGCATAAGCATACTTGTTCCATAAAACACTTCATTTTTAGATCAATGATGAAATCCACTTGTGAAAATGTGTGCACTTTGCAGTAAATCTTCTGGCTACACGTTGTTTTTCATGAATCAGTACTTAGTGTGCCTCCTCCTTAGGTGCTTTAATTTTGTTTTAAATTCACCAGAGCAAATATAATCGCATTAGGTGATGAGCAATCACTTGGCAACTGAGATTCTTATATGAACATTTCATTCCCAGCTAAGTCTTGCACATTTCTCTACCCACAAATTACAATTTCACAATGATCATAATTCAATAGTTGACATAACAGAGTAACATAAAGGGATTTAAATGCATTGCTATGATCATTGTTCAATGAAGCAGATAGTTAAGCACTTTCCACGGGCTCAAAAATAAATTATGAAGTATACTCTCATTATTTGTAAATTGAATTCACAGGAAGAGTTCTGTGATTATTGCATATTTATGACCATCCAGACATCAATGTAAAATTATATTAAGATCACACTTATTAAAAGAAAACTACTCAAAATGCAGAAACACAAGCCATTTCTTGAACTTTATTTTTCTCTTCCAAATCCCCAAAGGGGAAAAATGTGATAAAATTGACATTTCAGCCAATAATACTTTTATGATACTCATACAAATTTGATTGTAACTTAATTTTTAATATAGTACTTGCCAACTTAATCTACATTAGTTGACAACAGGATTTTCCAGTAACCAAATAAAGGAAGGAGTGATGAAAAGATTGGCTAAGATTTTCAATTTAAAGTTGTTTCTGCAAACTTCTAATATCATCAATTTCTAAGTATTTCCTCTTATTGGAATCTAAATATTTCCTCTTATACTTAATCAAATATTGTAGCATATACCACTTACAAAAACTTGGAAAGAAATTCATTGTTTAGTCATTACCTGTAACAACCATTCTTTCCATTGAAATTCCACTCACAAACATACAGTAGATGTTTTCCTGGTAGGTAAAATGAATGGGCTATTTCTTACTTACAGTTAGTCTAACAAAACATAGCATATTAAGAAATGAACCCATGCTGCACACATATTGACAATACAAGAATAATCGAAGGCTATAATATGATCAAGAGCTCCACTACATTTTAATTTTAGGCAAATTTCAATAATTATGCTTGCCTGTGAGGAGGATGAAGTATGTGAAAGTGTAAGTCACTACATCCAATCTCTAACAACACATAACAAAATAGAATATTAATGTATACCCATTCCTTGGAATCTCTGAAATCTTTAATACACTTTTCAACTTGATTCCATGTTTCCACTGACCAGTATTTAGAAAAACTCTTTACCAATTACAGTGATAGAAAACCATATCAATCTACCAAGCAGAACTTATCGCATAAAATTAAATGTTAATATTATGGAATTAGAAATTGCAAATTAGTTTCCTATAATTTGGTTTATTATATGTAAATAGAAATTGATTTAACAGAAATGTTGTCTATTGTAAGGAAATGAATATTTTTATCAATGCAGTTATTGCTTCGGACCCCAATAAATATAATGGGCATATATGACTATAATAAATTGATATGGTAGGGTTCACTAACAGTTACCTTAACCAGTTGGTACCACTTTTAAAAATAATGTTCTATTTTCTATAGGATTAGCATAAAACATCACAATTGTTACTGTTACACTTTTAGGAACAAGAAATTAGGAACAATGTGACTGAAAATAGGTTACACTGTGACTTTTCTATGGAAAGCAAAATATGTAATCATCCTAAGTCAAGCTACCATTGAATTCTAGCCTATGTCATTGCCTTCTAAGATTCTTTCTTCTGTATCATTAGTAACCAATCATAGGGACAATGTCTTCTTTTGCATATTACCAACCATCTATCTCTATGAGACTTAAATAAACAATTACCATTTTCTAAAGACACAGGATATTTTGTCAACAAAAACAATCTTATGTGTAATATTTTTACTTTCTTTATACTAATTCTCTGCTGCCATAGTTTCCTGTAGAAAATGTCAAATTATTCTGTAGTATTATTCTTACATTTCTCCCTGCTTAAAAGATTTTGTCCTGATATCCCTGCCTTTTAGATTATTTTGACACATTTTACATAGAAAAGTTACTTCATATTTATTTAAAATAGTAAGAAAAACCTTTCTACCGACTGACTCACGAACAAGGTGAGTGAGCCTCTGCACTTACCCTTACCCAACCCCTGCCCAAACCATCATTCATCCCGACCCCCCCCCCGTTAGACACGCCCAGGCAGGGTGGAGCTCCCTGAATCTGGTAACACCCCACTCTTCCATCCCTTTCTGCTGACAGATCTACAACTAGTGAGGAGACTACCAGGAGAGGCAAGACCATCCAGAGTTGCAGACATTGAATTCCTGGCCCCCACACACCACTGGGTCACAAGAGGAGATAGACCCCACCTGTACACACTAGAAGAAAATATGGGAAAAAGACAGAATAAGATTTCACTCAACAACAGAAAGACCAATATGACACCACCAGAATCTAGGGACTCCACTCCAGCAAGATCTGAAAAGCCCAACATAGAGCATGAAGATGAGATGGACCTCAAAAATTATCTCAGCAAGATGATAGAGACATTTAAAGAGGAAAGAAGAAAATCCCTTAAAGAAATAGAAGAAAAAGCAAACAAATAATTACACGAAATGGAGGAAAAGACAAACCAAAAAATTCAAGAAATAAACAAATCTCTAAATCTAAAGAAACCCAAGGAAAAACATCCAAACAAGTGAAGGAAGTTCTTGAAACAGTTCAAAGCATGAACACTGAAATAGACACAATAAAGAAAACAGAATGAGGCGATGCTGGAAATGGAAAGGCTGGATAAACGATTAGGAACTAAAGATGTGAGTATAACCAATAGAATTCAAGAGATGAAAGAGAGAATCTCAGCTATTAAAGACTTGCTAGAGGATATACATTCATCAACCAAAGAAAACCTCCAGCCCAACAAATCCCTAAAACAAAATATCCAAGAAATATGGGACACCGTAAAAAGGCCAAACCTAAGAATAATAGGTGTAGAAGAAGGTAAAGAAACACTGCTCAAAGGTACAGAAAACATATTCAACAAAATCATAAAAGAAAACCTATGCTGGAGAGGTTGCTGAGAAGAAGGAACACTCCTCCATTGCTGGTGAGAATGTGAACTTGTAAGTCCACTCTGGAAATCAGTATGGTGGTTGCAAAAATGGGAATCAATCTACCTCAAGATCCAGCCATTCCTCTCTTGGGTATATACCCAAATAGAGCATGTTCATACAACAAGGACATATGTTCAACCATGTTCATAGCAGCATTGTTTGTAATAGCCAGAAGCTGGAAGCAAACTAGATGCCCCTCAACTGAAGAATGGACTGAGAAAATGTGGTCCATTTATACAATGGAGTACTACTCAGCAGAAAAAAGCAATGGAATCTTGAA